CCTGCTCAGCCTGCTTTCTTATGCAACACAGGCCCACCTGCCCAGGGGTGACACCACCCACAGTGGGCTGGGCCCTCCCACATCACTCATCAAGAAGATGCCCTTCAGACATGGCCACAGGCCAGTCCAATAGAGGCAATTCCCTGATTGAGGCTCCCTCAACCCAGGTGTGTCAAGTTGACACTAAAGCTATCCAGCACACCATGCAACCATAAGTACCCGAGTTCAGATCCCCCAGAACCCAGATATGGTAGTGCATGCCTGCCAGCCCATCCCTGGGGAGGGAGAGACAGGAGGGTCTCTGGGGCTCCCGGTATATCATGAGAGCTGGTGGAATTTCCTGTTCTGAATTCTGAGATACGTGTTTGTCGGGGTTTTGATTTGCATTTGTTTGTTTCATTTTGGTTTTTTGAGACAGGGTCTCCCTGTAGCCTCAGCTGGCCTGGAATTTGCTATGTAGCCCAAACTGGCCTTGATCTCATAGAGATCAACCTGTCTCTGTCTCACAGAGATTCACCTCCCTCTCTGCCTCCCAAGTTGCTGGGATTAAAGGCAGGCACTACCACTTTTTAAAAAAATTTATTTATTATTTTTATTTCATGTGTATGTGTGTATTGCCTGCGTGTAGGTAAGTGCACCCATGTCATGCAATGCCCACAGAGGTCAGAAGAGGCTGTTGGATCCCCTGGGACTGGAGTTACAGACAGTTGTTAGCTGCCATGTGGGTGCTGGGATTCGAACCTGGGTCTTCTGCAAGAACAGCCAGTGTTCTTAATCACTGAGCCATCTCTCCAGCCCCGGCACCACCACTTTTTAAAAATTTTTTACTTTTTTTTTATTTTTTAATGTGGGCGGGGTGTGTGTGGCAGACGTGTGGTGGTCAGAGGACAACTTGTAGGAGTCGATTCTCTCCTTCCATTATGTGGGTCTTGGAGATCAAACTCAAGTCTTCAGGCTTGGTGGCAGGAATCTTTACCCACTGAGCCATCTTGCCAGCCCCCGAAGGGTCTTCACCAGCTGCTCTGGGCCCTGCCTGGTTCTGGACCACTGCCTTTGTCCACTAGGATTTCTTTCAAAAGCAATTTTTCCTTTCAAACATCTTTGATTGCTTATGCCCATGTTAATAATGAATGAGCCTGTCTCCGAAAGTCCTGGTGGGTGGTGGTGGTGCGATGCCCACAGCCCCAGCGAAGGAAGCAGGGGCAGGTCTGTGGCAAACCCTCGGCTGCATAAACCCACATGATCCCACTGTGTCTCCACATGGTGCTGTGAGTTAGACGCTCTCATCTCTACTCTGCAGGGCAGAAAGACAAACTTGCCAAAGACCAGTCAGCTAATTGAGAGCTAAGAATCAGAGCCAGAGCTGGCTCGCCCCAGCATCTGCGTGTTTAGACAATAACTTGCCCGTCTGTTAGTTCGCTACCCAGTCACAAATGCCAATCACCTTTGCACCCTTTCTTCTTCACTCATTTTTTCTATGCTTATAACATTTTTGCAGTTATTTAAATTAAAGGACAAGTATGTTTTTATGGTTGCTGAGAACTGAATTCAGTCTGCATATACTAAACTCTACCACTGAGCTACATACCCAGCCCCAATAATGTGTGTGTGTGAGCGCGCGCGTGTATGTGTGTGTGTGTGTGTGTGTGTGTGTGTGTTTTGAAAAAGAATACTTGAGCTGGGTGTGGTGGCGCATGCCTTTTATCCCAGCACTTGGGAGGCAGAGAGGGAGGTGGATCTCTGTGAGTTCAAGGCCAGCCTGGTCTACATAGTGAGTTCCAGGCCAGCTGGACTATAGGGAGACCCTGTCTCAAAAAGACCAAAAAAGAAAGGAAAGGGCTAGAGAGATGGCTCAGCGGTTAAGAACACTGGTTGTTCTTGCAGAAGACCCGGGTTCGAATCCTAGCACCCACATGGCAGCTAACAACTGTCCGTAACTCCAGTTCCAGGGGATTCAACAACCTCTTCTGTCCTCTGCGGGCATTGCACAACACAGGTGCACTTACCTACATGCAGGCAATACACACATACACATAAAATAAAAATAATAAAATATTTAAAAAAAGGAAAAAAGAAAGCAATACTCGGATCAACCCCAAGTCTCTCCAGCCCCCAATACCTTGTATTTTATGGTGTGTATGTATGTAGGGTCTCATGTATTTCAGGCTACACTTGAACTCAC